TAACCATTAAATCATTTTAAGTATCCAATTGAAAACTGGTTGTGTGTATAATTAAATTTATGTACTTATTGTAAAATGGGATTTTTGTCAATAGATAAATATTTTCCCTGATGATAAAGCTCTTGCTTTGATTTATTCACAATTTACATAACACATATATTATTCATATATTCTAAATTGAAATAATTTCCTATCATAAAGGGTCTTATCATCAGGAGACTATTCACATAGTGTATTTTTAAAAAGAAAGGTACCTCTTTGGAATACATATGTTGAATAAACATATTAGTACAATATATTCTAGGTATATTCCAGGTAACGCAAAAATTATAATTGATATATATATATATATACGATATTGAATTAAGGCAATAAATTACGCATTTATTCTAGATTTAGTAACAGTATGAAGTTAGTATTGGCATCAATACATTTATTAGGGGGTGTAGATCAAATAGGGTAAGATAAAGTTATTTTCGAACCCTTTTATTAAGCTATATCGAGAAATTCCTGTTAAGTGTGATTTTAAAGGATTCGAAAATATTAACAAAATGCTTATTGAAAATATTAAGTTTCAAAGAAATTTGAAGCCCACTTGTCCCTGATTCCTCAAAGGGAATTCATCTAAAACCCATTGAAATCGATTATAAACTATCCCTATAAAGGCAAACATCTCTCAATGACAGCCTATTAAAATCCGTGTGTCAAAAACAGGTTAGAACTTTTCCAAGAATTTTAATTTAATTTTGCGAAAAAATAGAACCATGGTATATAAACACACCGAATAATTAGTTTCTATAACAGACTGCCGAACTACAATTGATGTTAAACTATATGCAAATTTCCGTTAAATTAAATATTTTCCATATAGTAATATAGTAGAAAGTGTTAAAGAAAAAGGTATATAATATTAACCCAATTGAAATAAAATTCAATAGATATTTATTTGCATTTTATTTATATATTTATAAAAATAGTTTACTTTAGTTTTAAATTAGAAAAAAAATAGGCTGGAGGTTCTTTTGGCCTTTTTAAAATGCGGCCCAAAAATAATTGTCGGCCTAATAGCAAATCCTGGGTGTGGGAAGGCACCACCTGTGCCGCAACTCAAGACCTGGATCAATGGCCTTCGCTCGCTGCGATATCAATTCACAAATATGCTCAACCGGCTTCTCATTTACACAAGGCTTCACTTGTTGGAACTACTCACATTGTGGTTCTAACCATGTGCGCACTAACTGACACACATGTATAATCACATATACATATGCGCTCACTGCGCACATATATCATCACATACCCTATGCACGCTTATTGACACACATATATCATTTCATACCCTATGCACACTTACTGACACATATATATCATCACATACCCTATGCACGTTTACTGACACATATATACAATCACATACACATATACACACTTACTGTCACACATTTATAATCACATACACATATCCACGCTTACTGACACACATATATCATTTTATACCCTATGCACGCTTACTGACACACACATATCATCACATACACATATGTGAACTAACTGACACACATATATAATCACATACACATATGTGAACTAACTGACACACATATATAATCACATGCACATATTCACACTAATTGACACACATATATCATCACATATTCATATGCACGCTTACTGACACACATATATCATCACATACACATATGCAAACTAACTGACACACATATATCATCACATACACATATGCACGTTTACTGACACACATTCAATCACACCCACATATGCAGGCTTACTGACACACATTAGAACACACCCACATATGCACGGTTACTGACACACATTAGATCACACCCACATATGCACACTTACTGACACACATTCAATCACACCCACATATGCACGCTTACTGACACACATTCAATCACACCCACATATGCACGCTTACTGACACACATTAGATCACACCCACATATGCACTCAATCCGCCGACAGACGTTGGAAATGCAAATCTGGCCGCCGCGCGCGGTGACGTCACGACCGGCTCGGCAGCAGCCACGTCATCCAATGGCGCTGCCCGTGTCCTGGGAAACTGACGCGGACTACACTGAGGACCAACGCCCTGGAGAGGACGACGACTTCACCGTCGTCAGGAATAAGAGAAGGCGCCACGACTCGCCGGGTTCACCCACAGCGGCGAAACATCACTCTAACCCCAGGGGCGCAGGAGCCAATTCCCGGCCACGATCGTCCACGGGATGGGTGCCGCGGGCGGAAGAGATCAAGACCACTCGAGCGCATATTGCGGAGGCCAGGGCGCGGCAGGCGTCCTCCGCCGAAGACAACTGCGTTTACGTGGAGTACATCCCCGAACTTTAGCCCTACCACTACATAAGGGCCGTCGACAGGATGATCGGTGGCACCAACAATGTCTTCCAGGTCTCCAAAATCAACGGGCACTACCTGATGGGACTGAACAACAGAAGCCTGGCCGAGCGCCTCATCAGCGAGGGCCTCGAGGTTGAAGGCACTCTATTCAGGGCCTTCCCATTCCGCAAGAGAGCGATGAAAATCACCGTGGGCAACCTCCCCTTCTTCGTGGAGGATTTTACCATCATCAGCGCCCTAACACCCTACGGGCGCGTAACTTCAATCGCGCCCAAACTAATGAAAGCCGGCCCTTACATCTATAACGACGGCCGCCGAGACGCTTTCATCGTCCTCCACGAAGGAGTAACCACCGAGAGGCTCCCTACCCGCCTCGAGATAAAGATCAAAGGCGAGGTTTGGCCCGCATACCTGTCCTATGGCATCAGGTGTTCCAGATGCCACGGGCAGGGGCACCGCAGGGCCAACTGCCCCCTGCTTGCAGGGCGATCCAACGCCCCTAGACCGGCCACCCCAACCTCTCCAACCGGCGTCCCCCCAGTGACTACGCCCAGGCCGCCTCAGCCGCCTTCTGCCCAGCCTCCACCACCGGCGTCCCCCAGTCCAGCCATGGAGGTCTCCGAAGTGCCCTCCACAAGCCGAGCTGCGCTACATCCACCTGCAGCACCCCGGCAATCACCACCAGTGGCCCCGGCCATACCTACGGAGATGGCGCCTCCTGCCCCTCCACCTGTCACCCCTGCTCCGTCCCTGCGGGCTCCTTGGAGTCACGGGCCTGCAGTCCCTACACTGGACGTTGAGATGTCAATCGAGGAGACATCGACATCCTCCACCTCCTCGTCGGGAACATCAACGAGAGAAGGCCTCGTGACTTTCCTGGAGAGGAACCCGGGCGTCTCCTTCGCCCAGACGGACGCCCTTGGCCTCGGGCGGGAGGAGGTCTTGGACCTCCTCTCCTCGAAGACCAAGGCTCGAAAGCGGGGACCCCTCCTGTCACCTTCGCAGGGCGACGCTCTCGCCGGCTTAATCCGTCAGCTCTTGGGCCTGAAGCCCGGAGGAAACTCCAACATATACAAAGTCCTCGGGCAGGTTAGGGCGGCGCTCAAGACCTCGCCAGCCGCAGTGCCTCCAACACCCCCACTGCCCGCGCCTCAGCCTGCCGGGCCGATACCACCTGCTCCCGACGAGGAGGAGATGACGCCGATCATGAGGGAGGAGTGTATGGTTATTGAAATCTTCAAGAAACTGAAGCACTTAACCTGCCTAAGGCCCTTATATCAATCAGGGATCCAACCGAATGACCTCAAGGATGCCATTCTCTTCATCGATGAAAGAGAGTCCCTCATGGCGAGACTGACACCTGCGATGAGGGGAGTCCTCGCTGAGTTCCTCAGCGCGGCCATAGAACCGGCTCGGGGCAACCATCCCGATGTTAGCTCCGATTTGGCCAGTCTTAGGCGGCGATGCCTTGATTCCTGACAACTGTCAAATGTAAATATTTCTTTTTCACCCTCCTGGTTGAGTTGTTACATTGACTGACAGTCAATAAAATTATTTTAATTGTCAATTGTCCCACATATGCACTCTTACTGAGACACATTCAATCACACCCGCATATTCACGCTTACTGACACACATTAGATCACACCCACATATGCACACTTATTGACACACATTCAATCACACCCACATATGCACTCTTACTGACACACATTCAATCACACCCACATATGCACGCTTACTGACACGCATACATATTCATATATACATATGCACGCTTACTGAAACGCATACATATCCATATATACATATGCACGCTTACTGACACGCATACATACTCATATATACATATATATCTATAAAATACAATATAACGCGGCTGATGATTGTAAAACGAAAATTGCAATTATACCGCGAATGTTTCTTTTAAACAAAAATCTAAATTTATTTTAAAGAGAAATAACGACCATTTCTAACTTTAAGGATGAAGTATGAAAGGGTGAAAATATGAAGAGTAATGGCGAACGGAAAAATAAAAGTGTCCAGGGGCGGGAATCGAACCCACGACCTTCCGCTTACCGGGCAGATGCCATGTCCACTAGGCTACCCTGTACTTGAGAGAGACTCACCATATTCTAATATATATATGTTATAGATTAGAATTTTTTTGTGTGTTTGATTGTTGAAAAGAGGTGCAGTCGTGGAAAAATAAAAATAATTATTTACCTTTCAAGAAGATTTTTATTTTGAATCTCTTGAAGTAAAAATATACATATAAATTATTTATATCACAGGAATATAGAATTTATATAATGAATTCTATAATCGTGGATAAAAGATAGGGTTAAATATACATATTTACAACAATAATAAATAAAAGTGATATTTTTTTGAATATATGGTCAAAAATGCAGAACAGTCAATGAATGAAAAAATAAAATATATGTTTTAAAAAAAAAAATAAAATATTTGTATTTTAGATTATATAATATATATATATTTCATAGATAATTAGAGTATTGTCATGTAGAAAATTAGGATTTTCGTTTTACAATCATCAGCCGCGTTATATTGTATTTTAAATTACTTTATATAATATTTACGAACGGAAAAATATGTCCAGGGTAGTCTAGTGGACATGGCATCTGCCCGGTAAGCGGAAGGTCGTGGGTTCGATTCCCGCCCCTGGACACACTTATTTTTCCGTTCGCCATTACTCTTCATATTTTCACCCTTTCATACTTCATCCTTAAAGTTAGAAATGGTCGTTATTTCTCTTTAAAATAAATTTAGATTTTTGTTTAAAAGAAACATTCGCGGTATAATTGCAATTTTCGTTTTACAATCATCAGCCGCGTTATATTGTATTTTAAATTACTTTATATAATATTTACGAAGGGAAAAATATGTCCAGGGTAGCCTAGTGGACATGGCATCTGCCCGGTAAGCGGAAGGTCGTGGGTTCGATTCCCGCCCCTGGACACTTTTATTTTTCCGTTCGCCATTACTCTTCATATTTTCACTCTTTCATACTTCATTCATAAAGTTAGAAATGGTCGTTATTTCTCTTTAAAATAAATTTAGATTTTTGTTTAAAAGAAACATTCGCGGTATAATTGCAATTTTCGTTTTACAATCATCAGCCGCGTTATATTGTATTTTAAATTACTTTATATAATATTTACGAACGGAAAAATATGTCCAGGGTAGCCTAGTGGACATGGCATCTGCCCGGTAAGCGGAAGGTCGTGGGTTCGATTCCCGCCCCTGGACACTTTTATTTTTCCGTTCGCCATTACTCTTCATATTTTCACCCTTTCATACTTCATCCTTAAAGTTAGAAATGGTCGTTATTTCTCTTTAAAATAAATTTAGATTTTTGTTTAAAAGAAACATTCGCGGTATAATTGCAATATATATCTATGCACACCCTTTTTGTTCATACACATATATAATCTCATATACAAACACATATACACGCTTACTGACTCACATACAAACACATGTGAATTAATTTACTGATATACATATATAATCACATTTACAAACATATATGCACTTTCTAACACATATATGCATACACATATGCACACTTTCTATCACATATATATTCACATATGCATACACATATGCAAAATTAGTAATATACACACCTAAAAAAATCACATAGGCGTACATCAGTGTATATACAAACTCATTAACAAACAAAACTATATTGTTATCTTATCACATACATTTATACGCACATTCATATTTTATGTTCAAAAAATATTAATCTATACAAACAAACGTCAAACTTCGCAGAATGTATGCGTGATTCTGTTTCCAATATATACCTGCAATTACTTCAATATATACAAACGTATAAATACACACACATATACAGAGGATGATGAACAATGAGGCAACGACACCTTTAAAAGTGAATTATAACTCAGAGATTGTATCATTTATCTCATTTTTGAAGCGAGTATTTTCCTAATACCTTTTAACTGTTTCTTTTACTAGTAATTTTGATGCATAAACTTTTGAAATTTCTATCATATAATCAGAGCGCTGCCAGTATTAATTTAGTTGTTACTATTATCTCACACACACAAACAATATTCTAAAAAATGAGATTTTCTGCGTGATTTTGATTATTTTGAAGATTATGCTATGGTAATGCAGTCGTGGTTAAAATCTTGAAATATAATAATAAAAATAGTTTTGATCAGTAATTGCTTTATTTGAAATAAAAGGAATATATAAAAAAAATAATTTGATAAAATTACTGCCTGGCTTAAGGTGTAGGAATAAAAATATGTAAAACTTATTTACATAATGTACAAAAGGTTTGAGCCGGCTATCGAGAAACAACAACAATGAGTTTTTATAGGGGAAGCGTGACCTCTGGCGGTCGATTTAACAGAGTATTTGAATATATCAAATATAATTTAAAATAAAATAATATTTTAATATAACATATATATATTTATATATATATATGTGTGAAAAAAACAATAGAAAAAAATAAAAGATAAGTGGGTCAGGTGTTGATATTAAAAATAAAGAAGGCATTTCCTGACCACGAGCACATGTGCTTTTTATATGGCAGAACGCCATCTAGTAGAGCAAAAATAAACTAAATGTTTATTTAACTTGCTCCGTGATATTTGGCCAACCCAATTTTTTGATAAATCAAGAAAAGCCATCCACGAAATAAACGTTTAGTTTTGCTCAACTAGATGGCGCTCTGCCATCTAAAAAGCACATGTGCTCGTGGTCAGGAAATGCCTTCTTTATTTTTAATATCAACACCTGACCCACTTATATTTTATTTTTTCTTATGTTTTTTCATATATATATGTTAAATAAAAATATTATTTTATTCAAAAGGTCACGCTTTGCATATCAAAACTCGTTGTTGTTGTTGTATCCCGATGGCCGGCTCAAAACCTTTGTACAATATGTAAATAATCTTTTGTTTTCCTTATTCTACTCGTCTTAAGCCAGGCAGTTCTGTTATCAAATTAGGTTTTCATATATATTCCTTTAACTCAATTAAATTACTGATAAAAACAATTTTTCATTATCATACTTTAAAGATTTCAACCACGACTGCATTTCCATACCATAATCTTCAACATGATCTAAATTCAAGCAGAAAATCTCATTCATTTTTATATAACATATATATAACTAAAATACTTGTCAGAAAAGTTTCTAATTCGTTTTAAGTATTAGGTTCTTTCAAGTATTAGGTTAAGTATCAAGTGAAAATCACTTTTATATCCGAGTTGGGAATCTGAAAAATGGGAATTTAAGATTTAATTTTAGTTTACCTGATATTTAAACATTTCCTTTATAACACCGTGGGTTCTATTGGTAGAGACTTCTAGGGAAGACTACATACCTTGTATAAACAAGTTAAACTCAATATTTATTTATGCAAACATTCACTATATATCCACAAGTATTTATAAGAATAAAGATATTAAACATATCGGATACAGTCTTGAGCTATGATCAGGGCAAATAGGATTTTTTTTAAACTTCCTAATTTCTCTCACCGTTATTGCATCGGATCTGTTAAAAGTCATTTTATTTTGAGTTTTGTGATTTTAATTTTATAATTAAAACAAATAATTGAACAAAATTATTCAATATTAAATATCTATTTTTTTTGTCCTAAAATAAAAACCATGCAATAAAACATTGATATTCTAGAATAAAAACTTTGCTTCTATAAGAATAATGATGTTTACGGAATTAACAAAATTTACTCAAGAGATAATATACATGTTATTTATATATGTAAATTCTATTTATTCAAAATATTATATATAAATACCTGTTTTCTGAATATTAGAGAAACCAAAATGTATAAGCATCATTTGAGATTTATTTTATAATTTTCTATTTAGTGTGTAGTTGAGCGTATTTGAACAGTTTGTACACGAAGTAGCTGACGGTGGAGCGTTCGATGGCGCAGGTAGGAATGTGGAGTAATCTCAAACAGATCTACGTCTCAAGGCAAGTCATCTACTTTATATAAATTGCATATAATACTATATAATGCGGCTGTGCTTATATATAACGACGTTTAGCAAGTTTCACCGAAGATGTTTCTTTTTACAGAACGAAAAATCGTAATCTTCATTATTTAAGGAGAAATAACGACTATTCCTATCCTTAGGAATGAAGTATAAAAGGATGAATTGTGAAGAGTATTGACGAACAGAAAAATAAAAGTGTCCAGGGATGGGAATTTAATAAATTACATATATATTTATTTAGAATAATGTACACAAAAATGGGGAACCTCTTCCTTTAATATGCATTAAAACAACGCTTTCTTTTCATCACCCCAGTACAAATCGTAATAGTGGTGATAAAGATTGAGTCACAACACCAGTTGTGGAAAATTGTGAAAAAATGTCAACCTGAATACTAACCTCTGTTTTTGTCTGAATATTCAAATAAATGATGTTGTGACTACTTCTATATCACCACCATTACGTTTGTACTAGACTGATAAACCAAATACATTGTGTTTGTAGTGTTTAAAGGAAGGAACACCACTTTTAATACATGAATATTATTCTCCCGCAACCTTATTTTGTTATAAACTGTGCAAGTCTTGAGAATCTGTGTTGAATATAGCTTGATATTTAATGGTGATCAACCCCCCCCCCCCCCATCGAAATTGTAGCATTTTTTATTTATTTCAATTCAAAACGCTATGTCCCCCTAGGGACACTTGTGCTAAATGTACATACAAATATAACAAAGAAAATATTCAACATGGAAAGATACACAGAAAGCGACTTAGAAAGATTCGAAAATATTATTTACATATAGAGATATTCTTTGAATTTTATTTACAGTTACATCATTAAATTTAAAAATATATACATATATACACACATATACACGCATACACCTATATATTGTTTACAAACATAAAATATGTCCAATATTTCCTTGAGATCGTTACATCAAAGACCATTTTTCTTAAAGAAATCCAAAATATATTTACAAAGGAAATTAAATTTTATATATGTGTCCTTATTTGAAATTAAATCACTAGGGCCTAAAGCTATTAAACCGTTGTTGACTCTGTAATCTTGAAAGACAGGGCACTCTAGCAAGAGATGTATTGAAGTTTGTTCCCCCAATCCACAGAAACATGTCGAATCTTGCACAACCTGAATTTTCTTAAGAAAAAAACCTGAAATTTCCATGATCTGTGATAAATTGTGAATTATAATAGTTTGGTCGAAAATATTTCGGAATATCATAAGGAAAGAAACTTTGAAATGTTTGATTAGTATTCTTTTTCAGTAAATTAATCCTTGATATAATGAAATCTTTGAGTATACCTGGAATATACAAATCATAAAATTGTTTATCTTCTGTTGATAAAAAATTATTCAACTCATATATATATATATATAACCTATAATTTTATATTTTATACAATTAGTGATCAAAGGAATATTGGCTAAGGTGTGAACACAGTTATAACTGATTGTTTTATATGTTTGGGTACACCATAGCAGAATTTGATATTGCATTGAGTTCAGTTTGTACATATATTTTTTGCTAATAAATTCAAACCATATTTCTGTTCCGTAAGTTAACGTTGGTCTTATTATAGATTTATAAAGTGTGGGCCTTTTTTGGGTGCTAAGACCCCAAGATTTTAC